GATTTGTAGAGTCATTCTTTGAAGATCCTGACAAGCTTGACACTTGTTTCCACTGTGCAGTGTTTCCACTGTGATCATGTTTCCACTGTGCAGTGCAGTTTTTGTAGGCAATGAGATGCTCCCACGTAAGTTGACTCATGCTACAAGTCGAGGCCCTGACTTTCTCCTTAACGCCTCAGAAGACACTGAATATTTACACAAGACCTGCCACGCCACTCCGCTGTTATACCCATCTGGTGTAGGAGATGGTGGGAGAGCGCGATTCTTGTTTTTGAGTATGAACGTTAAGTGCTGGGTAGCATGACAGATGTCTTGGCTCTGGTTTATGTGCTAGGTCGGCTTCCCTGGTAGATACGGACCACACACTTGGACCTCCGAGCATCCTGTTACTGTCAACAAATCAAGGAAATATGTTGCCATTTCTGAAACGCAGAGGAAAAACTGAGATGGATACAGCTTAACAGACATTGGAGGATGTCATAGAATTATTATGTATTGTCTTTTTAGATAATGTCCAATATATATTTTTCAGTTGCTGCAGATGTTTAGGTTTACAAACTTAATGTAGGTACTAGTTTAGCAGTAGTTCTGTAAACTACAGTTAAATGACATTGTAAGGAAGTGGAGGGATGGTTGTTTGTTTTTTTCCTGTCTCCCGATACTTCCTTTTTGCTAGAATTCTGGGGAGCTTTCTGATATTGTTCAATTGTTTGAAGAGCTTTACCAGGTGATATTCCTGCCTGTACGGAAAAAACACAACTCCATTCAGGTGTGATAACATCCAGAGATTAACTTAGAGAGCACTTCAGAGTTCCTAGAAATAAAGGCCAGCTTAGTCATAATCACACTGATTTACTAGTGGTTTGTGTTAAGGTTGTCAAAACCCCTGACCCTAAGCAGTGGCTCCAGACTAAAAATGATTAGGGATTTGTTTGGCTCCTATAATAAACATTCGTTTTAGGGGGGCGTGGCAGAGACTTAACTTTGATAAAGAATATCTCTTTTGTTTTGATACTTTAGTCTTTGCAACTTCAGGGATCTTATCTATGCACAATCAGCTTGTAACACTCCAAAGAGAAAGGAAAACTTCATATGACCCCTTTAAACAAATTGCTTTAATTTAGCAAATGGCTTCTCTGGTTAAACAATACAGAATTGCCAAATAATTGTACTTTTGTACAATATAATTTATTACAAGTAAAAAAAAAAAAAGCTCTGTAATGGTTTGTTTAGAATCACATAGCCAAAAAATGACTTCTGGTTAGGTGTGGGAGGGAGTCCATTTCGAGTAATGCCTCTGATTGATTTAAGGCTGAGTGAGTTTGATTCAAACTGACAATAAAATCTGAATATTTTGGGGATCTGTTTAAACAATTAATTAAAAGAGTAATCATTTGTTCATAAACCAGACATCACAACTCTTGTTGTGTTCATTGTTGCATGCAGCAAACACCAGCACACACACTAAAGGTGTAATTAAAGAACACCACCTCATGAGATGATATCTAACAAAACCACATACCTTTATAGAATATTTTTCTATATCACTGTACAAAAATACTGTCATATGTATGGATTTCATGAGTACAAATTATAACCATATAATTTAGAGCGAAAAACAGTAAAAGGACATTCCCTCTGTGGCAGAAGTCCTTGCGTGACACATTACATGTGACTATGATTTATATAAATAATTTTATTTCTTATTTTTGTTACTTATTAGTATTGTACACAAGGGTGTTTTGTGTTGCATGATATTTATGTTATTTAGTTAATGTTTATTGTATTATTTTAATGTCATATGTGGTTACCCTGATGGTGTTTTGACCCTGAGCACCCTATTGTTTTCCTGTACATTTTAACTTAATATTTTTTGCAGTGCAATTTTTAATTTGTTGTTGCAAATCTTAAATTGTCGGTCACATTTTTAGTATTTCAGTTAAGTTGCTAAGTTTGTTTTGCATGGATGTAAGTCTCATTTGGCTTATTGAAGTGAGGTGTACTGTTGTCTAAGACAAATGCCATATAGACCTTTATTGAAAGAGGGGCTTGAGCCATATCTAAAGAAACCATCACAGAACACCTTAGCAACCCCATAGCAACATCCTGGCATAGACCCAAATCACTCTAGTATCATAGCGCTGAGTTTTGCATGTAAAAATCTAGTTAAACTTGTTTGTGTCTTATTATAAGTTATAGCTCTCTTGCTGTTTAAGATTGACAGCGTTAATGTTGACCCTCTTGAGGGAACGCCAAGTGACTCACACCATACAAAATCAGCAAGTCAAGACCAAAGATTTAAACTTTTAACAGGCAACACCCATAGATCTAAAGAATTCCCTCAGGCTCCGGAGACTGTTCGTCGACCTGCAATGCTCTTACAAAGACAAAGATGGAGCTAGACGAAGGGGGGAGTTTTATTGAGTGAGACTGCTTCTGCTGCCCTCTGTCTCTTATTCTCTCTCTCTCTCTCTCCCCACATAAACATCTGTGGCTGGTTAATGTTAGCCCCGGAGCTAAGTGCAGAGAAAGGGGGTCTGGCTCTCACAGCAGCGATAGCAGTGGTAAAAGGGCAGGGAGGTGTGGTGGCGAACAGGCAGCTGCTGCACAAACGCTCCTGGGCCAACTGCCCGACACTAATCAGAGAGTGAGGGCAGGAGAAAGCGCAGTTAGGGAGGGTGAAACTGACAAGAGAAGGTAAAAGGGGAGCATCTTGGGAGCTGCAAGTGATTTAGAGCAGAGCCAAGAATCCAAAAAGCCAAAAGCGACCTAGTTTGCCTCATGTGTTTTCTCTGCGATTGGGAGTAGAAAATAGCACGGCTTAGTCTTGGACTTCGGTCAGAGCGGCGGGGACTGATTTGGTACTGTTTTGTTTTATTGTTTGTTTGGTTTCAGGGCCTTTGTCGTGTGTTTTTGGCAGGCTGTGCTGATCTGATAAAGAGTAAAAGGTAAGAACAAGCTTAATCAGGAGGTTATTGACCCACAGGAAGCCTCAGGTGTATTCAAAGAGGATCAACAAACAAAAGGATATAGAAAAAGAAAGAAGCAGTTCTTTGCCTCAAGCCCTATAGACAATAATTTATATGGTGAAGACTAAGAAAACCTTGTATGATCCTATCTGCAAAGGGTTTCCTGAAGACAGTATCACTCTTCCTCTAGAATTTGACAAAGAGCTGTCAAGACTTTCATTGCACAACAGTGAAGGATTTGTTAAAACCATTGCAGGTGTTTAACATAAGCAGACTAATAAATCACACATGGATGAAAAATAAACCAGTGCATGAAAAAGTAACTCTGCAAACAAAAGAAACTCAGCAAACAAACCTAGATTACATTTCTGAGAAATTTCATGTATCCACCGAGGAATTGTTTAACAGAGGTTGTGTAGCGGCTAAAGTCAGAGATCACCTTTTGGTTCAGCTGTTTTCTGACAGTTTTTTTTCCTGAAAGGAATTTCTGTTAGACATTCAACAAAACCATTGCAAAAGCGACCATTGCAAAACTTATCTTTTAAGACCAATCTCTGCAAATACAGCCAAGGATTTTCTTGTTTACTGGCATAATAATAGACTTTGGATGGCTATAGCATTTGTTATTGTGAAGTTTTGCAGTTGAACTATTTTGAGACTCAACAAATCTCACACAACAAATATGAATCCAAATCTGTAGATCTTTTTTATTGAAGCTTGGTAATGCAACATTGTTTAACTTGCTTGTTTTCATGCAAACAGGATGGTTGTTAAATGTACAAAAGTTTGGAGTGGCTTAGGCCTGACTCTTCCATCCAATCAAACGGGCATCTTTCAGTTTCCTTTTTTAAAGGGATTGTTCACCCACAAATAACAATTCTGTCACCATGTGCTCACTTACTTATTTTAACTGTATTTCATTGCTCATGCAACAAAAGTCAGGAGGTCCAAAGCAACATCAGACCCCAGACTTTTACTGTATGGACAATAAATAAATGTTGTGCTCTGTAGAAAGAAGAAATGCATACAAGTTGGCACAACAAAATGATAACACAATTTTGACACCAATTGCACTAATCTTTCATGAACCAGCCCTTGTCAGCCGAATTAACTCATGTTAACTGCACATTTAAAGACAGACACCATATTAGGCAAATCCAGTTTACTGCTTCTCCCTGTCCTATAGTCACACAGGGCCTGGAAAAGCCGAGTGAATATGCCTCTCTAGCACTGGGAACATTCCTATAGTCATCTGTAATGGCATATTTCAGATTTAGAAAAGAAAGTGGAGAAAACAGAACAGCATGCGATAACGTGGTGGTTCCAGAGGCAGCATACGAAGACACATTATGGGGTCATCGAAGCCGAGCTCCTTTTCACCGCCTGATTGACAGTTCCCGTCCATCCCCTCCAATGCTTTCCCACGCCACAGTAATTGTGGAAGGCAGTCAGCCGAAACCACTGGTCAGTCGCAGAATGGCCACAGCACAAAGACGTGTAGAGAAAGCCGCCCAGTGTTTTCTAAAGGATCTGCTGTTCTCCACATACACACATACATAAGGATGCCTCTGTTTCTTCTTTTAGCTCTTGTCTCCGCTTGCCTGCAAAGGATTAACTCTTTCTTGGCTTCAAAAGCCTCATCGGATGAGATGATGGATGATGGAATGAATGTATCTGTATTGATCTCAATGAAATGAAAACGACCTTAACACAGATCCTAACAGAGCTGTCTCATGTGTCACCACCTATGTATAGCCACTTATCCTTAAAAAAAGACTTCCATAGTCTAACACAAGGGGGCAGCCTGTCCCTCAAGTTCAGCAGGGCCGCCACCAAGCTACACATGTACAGCAATTAGAGGAAAATATGCTTTCATGTCAAAAACAAAGCTATTTGGCAGCACGATTTGGCCTGTCTGTGTGCTAATAACATGCCGTAATCCTGCTTGACTGGAGATTAATTCAGAGGTTAGAAGCCAAACGAGAATGCTGGAGACGTTTTATTTACTCAGTCGCTGTAGATTCCTCCGGCATGGGGAGGCATAAATCATTGCTTATGGGACGAGAGAGAAAGAGACAGAGGAGATGTAAAGAGAGAGAAAATGAGTGTAGCCAGAGAGCGGTGCTGAAAGAGGCCAGATACCAGAAGATCCAGCCCAAACCGAGGAAGGATCGCACCCTGACCGCCCCGCTCTGTCTTGAAGGTATAGCACACATGGGCTCTGCATACTGTCTAGTAGTACTAATATGGGTTTGAAACTTACTTCGAGACTGTTTTAAAAAAAGTGTGTTCTTTATAGTATGAATATGGGTAGTATGAATGAAATTCTGACATACTGCATCCACCATATTGTCACTGTCACATGACCTACCAATACCAGTGGTGGAAGTGACTGTATCACTTCATTGACAACTTCTCTCCCAAAGCCTCATGGGGAATTTTAGAGTGCTAATCAGATGCACACTTTAGAATCTAGCCAGAAGTAATAGTTCATCTGGGTACTCTTCACCTAGGGCTGGGCGATATGGCCAAAGAATTATCTCGATATTTTTTTTTCATATCAGTCGATATCGATAATTATCACGATAAATGTTACATGTTAATTTCTTTCAAGTTTAAAGGCAGATTTTTGCTCCAATGTGAAAGTTGTAAAAACCAGATGGTTAATTGTGGTTTTCAACTATTCTTTATGGTCAGAACATGACAAACACTTCTCCAGTCATTTTTCCTTAAAGTCCCCCTGTAGTCAAATATTTTATCCCTTAAAACTTATCTTTGATCATCAAAATGACATATTTAAATGTTTTTTCTTGTGATAAAAACACCACATAGACAAATAAACAACATAAAAAACTTGATTTTCACTACAGGTGGACTTTAACAAAATAAATATCTTAATAGAAAAAAATCATTTCTTAGTTCTGCATGTTCTAGTAATTTAAAGTTACTTACTTGACGATGTTGTGTCCTAAAATGCCTTGAAAACTCGAATGCAGCCGTTTGTGATTCTTAATTCGCGCCTACATACATTTAGATCATGATAATCACAGTTAAAACCACAAATATAGCACCTCAATACCATGGTAAAAATGTAATATGGCTTGTAGGTATTTATGAGAAGCATTAGTCTAAATACATTTATAAATGCATAAACGCTATAGCTTAATCACAAAAAAATACTGTAATTATATTCCATTACTCCTCCTTCAATATATTTAATACATGTCTACATTAATAATATAATAAAATTCGACATGAATACCCACATTTCTGACACAATACCATGGTGCAGTTAGTGCTACTACAGTAAATTCATGGTAAATGATGGCGATTTGTAGATTAAAAAGTCTTCTGATTGTATCGTTGCGCACAGTGTTTCTGCTGTTTGTCAGCGCTTTCATCTGGCTGTAAACAGATTTATTTGTGTTCCTCGCTGAATTCAAGTGCTTCACACTGGATCTCACAGCGCTGTTCAGTGTCGCATCAGCGAGTGAACACATCTGCTCTAGTGAAGCTCGCGCCGCTATTTGAACTTTGATCCAAGCGGATAAACGCTCCGAGTGGCGCACTTCAAATGACTAGAGCTCTTTCGTTCCGCCTTTGCCGCATTATATCAAACATTTATCGAACTCTTGTTATCGTTTATCGAGGAAATCTATATGGTGCGATAATTATCGTTATCGATTTATCGCCCAGCCCTATCTTCACCTACTGTTTTATGAATTCGGACATACTACTCATCTCACATACTATTTCTCACCTACTATAGGGTTAATAACCTCCATACATAGGCAGCATTTCATAGCATTTCTTTTCTAGAGTTGTTGCTGTTTATTTGGCAATGTTAGATATCTAACTGCTTCATTTTGTTTATGCCATTGGGATGTGTTCAGAAGATGATGACGTACATACCCATCTCTTAGGTTCATTAATGTCTACTAATGTTTAAATATACTGATTTATGTTGTACCCATTTGAACCACAAATACCACTGTACTCTTCCAATACAATACCGAATGTACATGTCAAGATAGGAAATATCTGTTACACCTGCATATTTGACAATTTGCTATAGGCTATTGAAATATATAATTACCCATGATTAAGCTGCAAGTGAAGACCTGTCTTTCCCTCACACCTACTTTAGAAACGATGTCTCCTTCATAAACACGAGACATGTCACACTGCTTCACAGCTCGATCACACTGTACATGGTTGTCCCACAGATTTAAAAACAAAGTGGAGAAATTGAGGCTATACCTGCACGCCAGCAAGAATAAAAACTAGTTTAGACTAGGTAGCACTCCCCAGGAGTGTCTCCACCACCCCCACAGAGATGTAGGTGAATGTGTTTGACTCGGCTTTTCTTCAGCATATATGCAAACCACCTCTGTTTCTTTCCTTCATATTCTCTTATTTTTAACTGTAATGTGTTTTAACTGTATGTTGACCAAGAAACTACCAGATTTTTTAAAAATTCATTACGAAGTTCTTTTGAACATCCGAACGAAGTCGAACTTTTACTTTATGCCTGTTGTCAACAGATTTGTAAAAAATAATTATTTGTGCAGCGATTCCCATCTTTCAGATCCTATGAGAACATTTTTGTTTTGTGTGAACTCGCACAATTTTCTTGATATTTTCGTAATTAGAATTTCCTGCATTCATTTTTCCTACGGTATTTTTATATTCATGGACAAATAACTATTTTGAACCAGTTCTTTTTAGTAAATCCCCCCCAAAAAAAGAAACCCAAAACGCAACAGCGTGACTGGTGTAACCTGATTCCTAAAACGAACAATTCTTACTGTTTAGTGAATTGAATACCTTGCATTAAACATACAAAGTGACTAGTGTAGGTTGTTTCATGAACAAATTTTCGAAATTGAATTGAATTGATAATTGAATTGAATTCAATTCAATTATCAGTTATCAGGTTGAATCAGTCTGAAACACTGTAAATCCTGTATAATTTACAGCATTGGCAAAGACAGAATTAACAGTATAAATGAAATAAACTCAAATGATTCAGATCAAATTGAAAGGGGAAATCTGCTACCCAGCCCAATTATTATAAGACAGTTCATAGCTGTCAGTGTTTTGGACTTGTTTTCTCTTGTTTTACCCCTGTCTTTTTTCCTGGTTTTCCATATATGGTCTTTTTCCTGTTCTCGTTTAGTTTAATTATGTTTCCTGGCACCTGTGTTTGTTAATTATCCTGTGTATTTAAGTTCCTGTTTGTTCCTTCCTTTCTGTCGGGTCTACTCGTTGAGTTCGTACGTTTGCTTCAGTTTCTATGTTGGAATCTCCCCTGTGTTTTGTTAATAAAGACGGTTTATGATAACTCGTGCCTCCTGCGTTTTCCCTGCAACGACGAACCGTGACAGAAGACCTGACCAAGGACAGTAAGCGGCGCCCCTTCTCCACGTGTTTGTTTTCCGTTTTTAAAAGTGTTTTGGTTTTCCGTTTGTCAGTCAAGCCCGCCAGCCGCGGCATTCTCAAGCCCGCTGACCACGCCTTTCACCCTGAACCTAAAGGGGAATCTAAGGAGGAGAAGGCGGTCTGCTCCAGCCCCAGAGCTCGCTCCAGTGTGGGCTCCAGCCCCCGAATCCAGCCCAAAGAGGGCTCCTGTTCCCGAGTTTAGCCCACTGAGGGCTCCTGTCCCTGAGTCTAACCCAGTGAAGGCTCCTGTCCCTGAGTCTAGCCCAGTGAGGGCTCCTGTCCCCGAGTTTAGCCCATAAAAAGCTCCAGTCCCCGAGTTTAGCCCAGAGATGGCTCCTTGCCCCGAACTGCCTGCTCCGCCATGGCCCCTGAGCTCCCTGTGCCGTCATGGCACCCTGGACTGCCTGATCTGCCATGGCTCCTTGGACTGCCTGTCCCGCCATGGCCCCCTGAGCTCCTTGATCCGCCTTGGAGGCCTCCCGTGTCTCCGTCCTGTACCAGCCTCCAGGGCTCCCACCCCCCACGCCCCGGTGGATATGTTACGGTGCGGGACGCGCCTTCCGGGAGGGGGGAGTTATGTCAGTGTTTTGGACTTGTTTTCTCTTGTTTTACCCCTGTCTTTGTTCCTGGTTTTCCATATATGGTATTTTTCCTGGCACCTGTGTTTGTTAATTATCCTGTGTATTTAAGTTCCTGTTTGTTCCTTCCTTTCTGTCGGGTCTACTCGTTGGGTTTGTGCGTTTGCTTCAGTTTCTATGTTGGAATCTCCCCTGTGTTTCGTCAATAAAGACGGTTTATGATAACTCGTGCCTCCTGCTTTTTTTCCCTGCAACGACGAACCGTGACAATAGCAGGGCTGGGCATTGACACCGATTTTATTAAAAATCCAATTGTCTTTAGTCGCATCACAGTGCTCGAATCCTATGTAGACACAGTGTTAGTTTTACAACACAAAAAAATACAGGATGACCAGTGTAACCTGATTCCCAAAACAAATAATTCTTTTGATCTGGCCAGATTTTGTTCGAAATGACATCACGCCCGTCATACTTCGATTTCGCTTGAAATGTACTGGGGCCTTAAAGGAGGTGGTTCTTTTTGCACAGGTAGCACTTAAAGCATGTAAAAGGCTGACTCACTGCATGAGCCAGGTCCCGCTGAGAGAGGTAGATTACAGGGCAGTTAAGCTCATAAAAAGAAATTTCTCCTCTTTAGATGTTGCTGCCCCTCTCACGGCACGGCTGCACTGTTGCAGAGGTGCTCATCTCTCTCTGTTCTTATTGTTCAGTGGTACTATTACATGCAGTTTTGCTTGTTTTACTCCTATCCTTTCGCTGCTGGGATAAAAGTCAAAAACAAGATAAAAAAAGCAATGAGGTGGATTGTTTATAGTCTGGCGCTGGATTTTGGGGTTTTTAGGTTCTGTCAGTAGCTGGTTTCCCAGATAAAGATTGACTTAGCTCAACTTTCACCTATGATACGGTGTATGTGTCCAGCACCTCTCATTAGAGATCGATTTCAGATATGTCATTAGTGATTCTGACGAGCACATAATGAATCACTTCTCACTGTGTATATAATGGCTGTGATAAATGCGATGTCTCACCCTTGGGCCAGGTGAGAACAGGGTTATTGTCTAATATATCAGAAAGACTGACTCATTATCTCTGATAAGCATAACAAATGATGAAACACACTCACAGGGTGTGTGCATAGACAGTCTGTCTCCTTCACTTGTGTCCATAAACATAGAAGTTTAAA